CCACTAACCCCTGAGCAGTCCGCCACCCGCCCTGCGGGCCCGGCTCAGCCTGCGCAGGAGCCTAAAATGGGTCCGTGGCCTGTCCCAGCCAGGCCGGGCCCTGGCGGTGTCTGCTGGGTTCGCAGCGAGTGCACTTGGTGCGTGTGACGGCCTCTGACCTCTGCAGGTGTCCGGAGCTTGAAGGAAAATGCACGGAGCCTGCTCTTTGCAAATGGAGCCAACGTGCTCTTTAAAGCTGCGTTCACACGTGGTTCCCAGCTTGGGGGGCCCTTGGGGGTCTGGATCGCTCAAAGATAGTGGCTTTGAGCATGTTTTCATATGTCTCTTGGCCTTCTGTATATCCACTTTGGAGAAGTGTCTGTTTAGGTCCTGGGCCCATTTTTTAACTGGATTGTGTGTCTGCCTTTTGTTAAGTTGTGTGAGTTCCTCATATATTTTGGAGATTAGCCCTTTATCCGATGTGTCATTGCCAAACATGTTCTCAACCTTTGCCTTTAGAGGCACTGACCTATCCCCTCAAAATTCTGCAAACCCAATTGTGTGCTGCTGGGCCCACACCCCATGCGGGCGGAGCCGAGAGGAGCCTGAGCTCTCGCGGGCAGTGCAGTCATGGGCAGTGCAGCGGGGACGCGTGAGCCTGTGTCTGCTCGTGGCCACCACCCATACTGGCTCGGCACCCGGGCCAGTGGTGAGCCCAGTGCGGTTCCTGCCTGGAGAGCCCCTGCTCCGGTGGTGAGGGAGCCGGGCCGGTGGGGACAAGCCCCAGGCGGGGACAGAGCTTGGCAGAGGGGGTGATGGGGGCGGCCGGCCGAGGTCGGGGAGCAGGACCGCCTGCCCCAGAGGCTATGCCTGCTTGTTCTGAGAGAAGGACTGGTCGTTTCCCACCAGGAAAGGGGCGTCTCCAACAGAGAGAGACCGCAGGCAGAGGCGGGCCCAGGGAGGGGACGGCCACGGGGCTCAGAGAAACCAGGAGGGGGGGCGGACCCTTGGGAGCACTGGCCAGGGCCGGGGTCTGCAGACACACCACCTCGGGGACCCCCAGGTTCCACACCTTCGCCCCTGGGTGCCACAGCGAGGCACCGAAGGCGTTTCAGTGCGTTTGTGTGTCTGGGTTTCCTCCTTGGCCCTGGGGGGGGATGGGGACCCACTAGAGCCAGCGTGGTGGACGAGGCCCCTGGAAAGACGGGCCGGTGCACGCTCCTCGGCGCCGGACGCCTGCGGCCTTGGCTTCCACGGGCCTGATAACGGCTCTCTCTCCACCGCAGGTGCCCTTGCTCGTGTGA